CCCCAAAACCCCAAAACCCCAAAACCCCAAAACCCCTCTTCATATGAAATCAACTGAATTTTTATAAATTTTAATAATAAATTCGGACTAAAATGGATCAAGTGGCAACTATAGACCAGTTCATCCTGACCGTGACTAATGAAGATGTCGAGACTCCTAATATTGAGTACCAGATGGAGATTGCCTCTCGGTTTAAAGAGAACAGAAAAGACCTTGTCATTGGCATGAAAGTACTTGAAATCATAATGAAAAAGGGCAAGATGAAGGAAAAGTATCATTGCCTCTGTCTTATTGAAATTATATCCAAGAACAGTAGCATAAAAGTCCACGAGGAATTGTGCAAGAAGAAGTTAATCGATACTTTCATGACGCTTCTTAAAAAGAGGAGAGGCAAAGCAGGCATTCTGTGTAAGTCCCACACAATTTGATTGTTGGTCAGTGATGTTGGTTGTTGAGATGTGCTCGAGGATAAATTTAGTCCATAAAATATGCTTGGGTTAGATATATGGATCGTGATAAAGATCTTGGAAGAGAAAACATGAGCTCTTTTAGCAAGAGCAATTAGATTAAAATTTAGTGAGTTTGAAGAAAATAAACAATACTTATTTTAATAAATTTGTAATTTTTTTGTTTCAAAAGATTTGTGATATACCCAATTTCTAATTTTTGACTTTTCATTCTCTCTAATTCGAGCAATAATTTGACTATTTATCCAGCAATTAAGAGTAGAAAGGCGAAGGATAGATATTATAAAGAAAAATCAGAGGAGAAATGCCTTTACTTAATCCAACTTTGGGCTGACACTTTCATGATGTATCAAGACAAGTTTAAAGGTGTTCACGACGCTTACAGACAACTCAGGATGGAATCAGTCGAATTTCCAGAAAGAGATCCAAACGAAAGAATGATGATGGAAAATCTAAAGGGGATAGACTCCCCCATGTTTGATTTTGTGGAACAAATTTCTGGCAAAGAGAGACCAAAAGATCTAGAAGAAATTAGCAAAGAGAATGAAGATCCTCAGTATGTAGATGTCATCCCTGATGATGGTATTGAGCCAGAGGTGCAAGCCTTCGATCCCAATGAAGACTTCAGTAAGTGCTTTATCTTTTTTTTTTATAATATAATATGATGTATAGGCAAGTATACAATGGACTCTTACGACCGTACTGAATTCGAAGTTGCTAAGTCAACTCTGATGATTCTTGAGGATATGAGCAACAATGCAGAGTATATTACTGATCTGAGGACGGATATTGTACATGATATTTATACCACCTGTAGAGTTTCAAGAGCTAGGATTGCTAAGATAATAGAGGTCCGATCATTTGCTAATAAACTCAATGACTTGGAATCTTTGCTTGAAGTTCTCGATTTTATTGACAAGAAAATTGAACTTTTTAGATCAAAGTATCAGAAATTGAAAGAAAAAGAAAAGAAAGATAAAAAGAAGATAAAAGAAGAGAGGGAAAAACAGCCAGACCCACAGGAGTCACATGACAAAAATGAATCATATGAAGACTTTGATAAGTAAATTAACCATAGCTATTCTCTCATAGATATCAAGAAGAATCTGAGGAAGAAAAGCAAGAAATTGGAGGTATCGATCTGCTAGGTCTTGGACTAGAAGATTCCCCTGATAAACAACCAGAACAAGAACAGAACTCTAAGAAGAAAAAGAAACCCAAAAAATCAAAGAAGAGCAAAACAATCAGAAAAAGAAATAAGGAATCTGACGAAGATGATGCTAAGGAAGAGGATAAAAACCATGGAGGTGATAACCAAGATGAGGATGAAAATGATGAGCCTAAAGAGATCAAGAAATTAATGGCTCCTCCATCTGGAGCTAGAAAACTGATCAACCACCCAGCTCCTAAAAAAGAGGAAAAGGAAGAAGACAATGGAATAGCAGACCTTCTGGAATTTTAATCATATAATTATTTTCAAGCCAAACTTTAAGTTCGGGGTTTTGGGGTTTTGGGGTTTTGGGGTTTTGGGG